TGATAAGACTTATCTATGTAACACTTCAGATCTTGTTCTTGCATCAACTTGCTTTAGCTCAACCTTGATTCTTCTTCAATTCTTTATAATCACTTTGGCATCATCAAAACATTTGTGCATATTTTCTTCCACATTCTCCCCCTTTATGATGATGACAATTTACTGTAAAGGGAAGGAAAATAAAACAGTATATTACGATCACTCCCCCTTCGTAAAGCATTGATTGATGTTACTTTTATTTTTATAAAAGGAGTTGTAATATTTTGATCGATTACCAGAGCCTATTTTCTAACATTACTTTGGGCTAAGTTTGACTAAAATATTTTGACAAAAATATTCTTGATGCTCAACTTGATACTTATGTTTTATAATATAAACATTGTAGAGATCAATGTTTATATTATAAAACATAAGTATCAAGTTGAGCATCAAGAATATTTTTGTCAAAATATTTTAGTCAAACTTAGCCCAAAGTAATGTTAGACAAAAATAATCATTTTCTTTTACTTTGCGGTCTTATCTAACTCTCCCCCTTTGGCAACATCAAAAAGCCAAGTAGAGTATTAAGATAAAAGTTATTTATCTTTTTCCTATTGTGATCCTTAGCCTTTCTGTTCCCCTTTGGAAACATCAAAAAGAATATAATAAAAAAATTATCCAAAGGTAAAGAGTAAGACAAAATATTAACCAATGTTAACCAAGCTAAACATGGTGTTAGGCCTACTTGCAGATAAATAGAGAAGGGATCCGCTCATACCACTGTATTGTTTTAAATGGATGGATTTACCACCTTCATCTTTGTCCAAATATTTTGAGCAAATCCTTACAATATTTTCTTTGATTTATAAAAATTCTATTTTTTGTTTGCCTTATTTGTAGTCCAAGGAAAAAATTTAGTTCTCCCATCATGGACACTTCAAATTCACTTTGCATATCATTTGAAAATTCCTTGCACAAGTAGTCATTAGTAGCTCTAAAAATAATATCATCAACATAGATTTGTACTAAAAGGTTTTCATTCATTTTTCTTTTGATAAATAATGTTGTATCAACCTTTCCTCTTGTAAATTCTTTTTCCAAAAGAAATTTACTTAGTCTTTTCATATTATGCCCTAGGAGCTTGTTTTAATCCATATAAAGCCTCTTTCAACTTAAAGACATGGTTTGGAAATTATGAGTTTTCAAATCTAGAAGGTTGTTCAACATATACTTCTTCTTGAATAAAACCATTTAGAAATTCACTTTTGACATCCAGTTGATATAGTTTGAAATTCATTATAGATGCATAGCCTATTAACATTCTAATGGTTTCTAGTTTTGCTACAAGTGCATATGTTTCTTCATAATCTATGCCTTCTTCTTGATTATATCCTTTAGCAACTAGTCTAGCTTTGTTTCTTATAATTACACCATGTTCATTTAATTTATTTCTAAATACCCATTTGGTTCCAATAATTGGATGATTATTTGGTCTAGGGACTAGTTTCCATACTTGATTTCTCTTAAACTGATTTAACTCTTCTTGCATAGCATTAATCCAATGTTCATCATTTAAGGCTTCATCAATGATTTTTAACTTCTATTTTAGAAATAAAAACCAAGTTATTGCATGCTTCTTTGAGAGAGTATCTAGTAGTTACCTCTTTTGATATGTCTCCAATGATATTTTCAAGAGGATGATTTCTTGAGATTCTCCACTCTCTTTGAGGATTCATGTTTGGGTTGATCTTCTTGGATTATTGAATCCTCATTTTCTTCATCTTCATTGTCTTTTTGAGTTTGCTCATGAATATGAGTGTCTTTACGGCTTTCTAAAATATCATCAATAATATCTTTTCTTGGACAAACAATGTTAGTCTCATCAAATACAACATGAAATGATTCTTTTATAGTCATGGTTCTTTTGTTGTATATTCTGTATAATTTGCTATTTAAAGAGTATCCAAGAAATTTCTAGAGAAATCATCTACTAAGACAAGACCATAGTAACTTCCACCAAAGCTCGTAGTTCTAGAGGGTCCAAACAAGTCCATATGCAAGGAGCCTCCTCAACAAAGACCTCCTCCTGCACCTGCAGCCCAACTAGCTCAACCTTCTACTTCTTCTGAGCCTTCATTGGAGGAGCTGGTGAGGCAGATGACCATCCAAAACATGCAGTTCCAGCAAGAGACCAGAGCTTCCATTCGGAGTTTGACAAATCAAATGGGTCAGATGGCTACTCAGTTGAATCAGGCACAGTCTCAAAATTCAAACAAGTTGCCTTCACAGACTGTGCAGAATCTGAAAAATGTGAGTGCCATCACCTTGAGGTCAGGCAAACAAATTGACATACCAGCACCACCTACAGCTGTTGTACCTCCACCTGAGCCTACACTTGAGAAAGAGGGCCCTACAGGTAGTAGCAAAAATTTTCATGCAGGTGGACCTTCTTCCAGTGCACACAGTGATGATCTACATCAGCCTCCTATCCCTCTTCCATTTCCACCAAAATCAATTCCAAGCAAAAAGATGGAAGAGGTGGATAAGGAGATATTGGAGACCTTCAGGAAGGTGGAGGTGAACATACCTCTGCTGGATGCCATCAAGCAAATTCCCAGATATGCTAAGTTCCTGAAAGACTTGTGCACCCACAAGAGGAAGCTGAAGGGCAATGAGCGAATCAGCATGGGCAGAAATGTCTCAGCACTCATAGGTAAATCTGTTCCACACATTCCTGAAAAGTGTAAGGACCCAGGTACATTTTGTGTACCTTGCATTATTGGTATCAATAAATTTGAAAATGCCATGCTTGATTTAGGAGCTTCAATTAATGTCATGCCTCTGTCTATTTTTAATTCTTTGTCTCTTGGTACTTTGCAACCTACGGGTGTGGTCATTCAGTTGGCCAATAGGAGTGTTG